TTCAATACTGTTGGAATTCTGGTTTTAAATAAAAATTGTACAATTAATGAACCATATTATTAATTTCGATTAAGAATGTAGGGGTTGAATCTGCCTTGAAAGCCCGAAATTTTAGGTTCGCGTAAAATAATTTACGATTTTGAAGGCACAAAATAAAGTCGCGCAAAAATGCAATATTTGTTTATGTTTCACAGCATGTGCAATACTAAAATAGGGTTGTCCGTCATGTAATCTGAGCTTCCAAGAATCGTTCTAGCCGATTTGAGCAAAGATTTTCATAAAATTTTTTTTACTCGCATTAAAATTTTTTTTACCGATTTTAGCGGACAAATTTGTCTGTTAAAATGGATAGTTTAAGAGATAAATTTCTAATTTTATTAATAATAATTAACAACCATTTTTGTATAAAAATTGTATCTTTTCATTAGTAAATATATACTTTTTTTTAAAGAAAATTGTTCTACGCCTTTCTATATTATAAAATTATAGTTTATTCATTTTTTTTAAGCAACAATTTGTCAAATAATTAGCATTTCAAAACTAGTAACAGATTTCACTTCTTTTTCAAGAATATTTTCGAATAATCGGATTAAGCAATTAAAAACTAGCTGAAAAGGTTAAGACGGTCAAGAACTTTAAATAGATATATATTTTATTAGAGTTATTTTACAAATTTGAAAAAAAGTTACTTATAAAGAGAATCATATATAAAGGGTAAGATTTACAAATATAACTGAGCTTTATTCTTTCTTGATTTACTTGCTACTATAATTTAATTCTCATTATTATAAATTAGTTGTGTCTATTAGCTATTAAAATATAGTTTTTTTTAAATAATATATTATATTATAAGATTTTATAAGCGTTTCTTCAAGATCAATAAAATCAGGTTAAAATTTTGAAAATTGCGATAGAAGCTATGCTTGCAACAAACTGCTACTACAAGGGCTCTTTGCCGGGTGTTATTTATTAGTTGCCTATAATGATATATTTTCCATGCTTCACTTTTTTTTACTTGAAGCAGCTTTTTTTCCAAGAAGCAAAGGTACCAAATCCTTTTTTGTTCGGCCTTTTGCAATGCGTTTTTCCACTTTCAAAATGTCTTGTTTAATAATGTCTGAAATTCTGAGTATTCCTTTATTATAACAGGTAAACATATGATCATATTCTTCAGGTGTTAGTTGATTAGAAATCTCAAAGAGCAGATGTTTTTCAGGTTCATTACATTCAATAGCTTCGGAGAGTATATTTACTAGCTTCCATAATGCTTTTTTGCGATCAATTTCTGCATTTGTGGTTTTACTTATACAATTATCAGTTACTGATTCTGCATGTAAAGCTAACAACCGATCTCTTTTATTTTGAGCTGCTCTAATTACCATTTTTAAATTATCTAGATTTGTTGGATACCCAGTCATGTTTTGTTTAACAAATTTCACACTGAAACACTCTAGTGCCTCATCATATGTAAAAAAATATTCATCTGCCGTGAGATTTACAGACTCAACTACCTGAAGTTTTGCTTTCATAGTTGGGTTTGTTTCTACTGTCATTAAAAAATGTGGTACTGGTACTACGTATCTGCTTTTTCCAGTGATAGAAATAATAGTGCAAAAGCTTTTAAGTGTTCATGTTGAACTTCAAAATTACCTATCCAAATGCCAATTTTATGAAGCTTAAGCCAACTTGTCCATTTATAATATAAGGTCCAGACTTTTAAAATATTATTATTTTCATTTTCAATATCTGCTAATGTTATATAATGTTTATCCATATACATATGAATAGCAATGGCTGTAGCTGCCCAGATAAGCTCAAGAACACAGAATGTTGCTCTATAATCTACAACATCTTGAAGCTTTTCTAGGTACTTTATCCCAAGTATAGATGCTAATCCAAATAACCCATATCCAGAGAAGGCAACAATTAGAGCACTGCACATGTCTTTGCTCATATACCACTGACCAAGAATGAGATTTAATTTTAGTTGATTATTGGAAAAATCTGTAAGTTTTCGAAAAATAGCTTCATCACAAGCAATGTCCAAAGATTCTTCTTGATTTAATTTTAAATCCTCTATATACATTTCACAGGCTTTATGTGCTGCAAGATTTGTGCTTGGTGCTGGACCAGCTTCTAAAATAACAACATTTGGTGGAGAAACTTTACATCTCTTTCCTACTGCTTCTTTGAGTGCAGAATTTATTTTACTCATACAAAATTCTATTGGATATTCAATTATTAACTGGTTGAAGATTTGAGTAAGTTTTCCTATCCACTGTTCCATAAATTGGTTGCTTCCACACAGATTATTAACAGAAACATTAGAATTTGAAGGTTGTATTTCAATATAAGGCATTTCAAATTGAAAAACCATACATAAGGTAGCATGAGCGGTATTTCATGTATTGTCATAAATGTTACCAGCTCTGAATGTCTTTTCTTTGAAATCTATATTGTCTATTACCGCCAAGTTCCAAATATTCAGTCCTGATTTTAGTCTTTTTTGTGCATCTATTTCTAGTATACGATTTCTTCAGACTTTTACCTCATAATCTTTGGAGTATGCTACTATATTTGCAGCACGAAGAATAGCACGTAAATATGATGCAAGCTTGGGCCGTTCACAAAAAGATCCAACTATTTGTGGAAGCCAGAATTTCCAGCTTCTGAATGCATGTGCTAGAATAACAGAGGAAAGAAAAGATATACTTTACACTATTTCACTCTTGTCTAGCTCAGTTACTGTTTTTTTGCATTCTTCTTGTTTTCATTTTACTATCTCATGATTTTTAAGTTGCAAAGTAAGAACTAGACCATCAAAGAAGCTTATTAAACATTTTGGCATTGCTTCATAATATTGTTGTAAAGACTTAGGACTTTCTAATGTCTTCTTATAGGAGGATAAACTAGCATGTAATCTTAAAATTTCAAGAGCAAGTGATTTTCCAAATTTTTTACATTTTTTAGGTTTCAATATAAATTGTTTTAACTGTTTAGAAAAATCTAACTTTTTGACCTTGAAAGCTGCATTAATCACAAACAAGCTAGGTAATTTATTTATTTGCGCCGGTGATGAATTTAAATCAAAGTTTTTTAAACATGGATTTAGAGCTTGAAGTAAATATTTTTTATATTATCATCTTCCGACTCTGCCACAATCTCAATTAGTCTTGCAAAATGATAAAGAGCAGTTGTAATATCATCTGAATGTTTTGCAATACATCCTATATTTACAATATTTCCTGAACCATGACATATATGCAAATGCTCACCATTCTTTTCATAACACTAGCAACACACAAAGCGAACTCCCCGAGAAGTTTCTGTATTTTCTGTGTCTATGCTATTTTTAATAGCTGGGCAGAGAACCATTCCATGACAAGGTACTTGTATTGTCTGATTGTGTATAATCCATGTATGTTCTAAACAACTTGCTCCACGACTAAAAAAGACTTTTTTTTTGTGACAAAAAAAGCAAATACGAGAATTGAATTGACTTCTATCAGTTGGGCGATCATTTTTTAAATTTTTTCTGTGTATGGTATTTTGATCATAATTAAAATGCCTTGAGCAGACTCCAAGAAGGTGAAGTTGTCTGTTAACTTCTTCAACAGCATTTGTGTCAATTTCCCAAACACAAACAAGTTCTTGTAATCTTTTATTGCTGATTCTATTATAGTGACGTATCTCACCATAATCATTATCAATTATGATGCACAGTGTAGTGGGTTTTTGTATAGTTGTAGAAATTTCTTCACTATATTCACTGCCAACTTCCTCAATTTTCTCATAATTAATATCCTGCCCAACTGCCACATCTTCAGCATTAGACTCTTTCTATGGATCATCTTCATATTCCGTTAAATCTAAAGCTTGCCCATACAGGTTTTGTTTGAAATTAAATAGAGATTCATCGTCATAGTCACCTTCATTATCCAGAGTCTAAATATTTGTTAAAACCTCTTGTAATTCATCCTGGTCACAGTGAAGAAGCAAATTGTGTGAGGGATTAATGCTCATTTTTGATGATGAAGTTAGAACAGGTAAAGGTATTTGTACTTTTTAATATAGTGTTTTTTTATTAATTTGTCTGTTATTAATTTGTTTGTTAAAATCAAAATTGGTGAAAAATAGCACCTTTTATTGATTTGAGAGAATTACATTATCTGTTTGATAAAAATTTCGACAGTGTATTTGCCAAAGTTAAATTTCTAATTATGCAAAGTTGAAAATAGCCCAATGAAGAATTTCAATAAAGTCAATGGGTCAATGGAATTCAATGGAAACTAATTCATTGAGCCTCCATTAATTTTTTTTCTAATGGATAGTAAAATTACTAACAATGATACGTGGAACTATTTTTATCAAACTTTTCAGGCATGAAAGAGAAACATACTTATAATTCGGCTGAATTAGTTTTGTACTTCATTTCTCATTAATTATTGAATGATACTGTTATTAAATGTTTATCCTTTTTAAATAATAATAAACTCAGTTACTATGTTTTCTTAATTTATAATTATACTGTATCTTTTGTCATTTTTTATTAATTTAAAAAACAATAATTGAGTGGTCATATTTTATTAATTACAAAAATAAGGTCGAACAAATGACATGTATCTATATAAACATTAAAAAATAAAATAAAATAAATTATAACATTAAATTATAAGGACATGACCCAAACAAATTACACAATGTCACAAAAACCAGGACCTGACCCAAACAAATCACACAATGTTACAAAAACCAGAAATAGAAGGGAATCAAAATTTTCACACAAATACTTCTTTAAAAAATTTTGCCAGACCCTAAATAAATTAATAAATTAATAAGTAATAGTACTCTAAAATCACACAATGTCACAAAAACCAGGATCTGACCCAAACAAATCACACAATGTCACAAAAACCAGAAAGAGAAGAGAATCAAAATTTTTACACAAATACTTCTTTAAAAAATTTTGCCAGACCCTAAATAAATTAATAAATTAATAAGTAATAGTACTCTAAAATCACACAATGTCACAAGAACCAGAAAGAGAAAGTAATCAAAATTTTCATACAAATGCTTTCAAAAAATTTCGCTAAACCTAAATAAATTAATAAATTAATAAATTAATAAGTAATGGTACTCCAAATCACACAATATCACAAGAACCAGAAAGAGAAAGTAATCAAAATTTTCACTCAAAAAATTTCACCAGATCTAAATAAATTAATAAATTAATAAGTACCATAAATGGCTATATAAAAGACTCGCATTCCACCAATTTTAAAACATATAGTAGACCTGGGGTCTAGTACACGGCTGAGTTTGTATTCTTGAAAGTAAAAATTTGAAATGCATACACACTTTGTATTTGTAATATTCAATCTAGATGTTTGAAAAGAATTGCATTTTAATCAAGAGGATCCTGAGATTTGCACACGGGTCTAGTACTTGGTCTTTTATATGGCCGTTTACGGTAATAGTACTCCAAATTACACAATATCACAAGAACCAGAAAGAGAAGGTAATCAAAATGTTCACGCAAATGCTTCTTTCAAAAATTTCGCCAGACCTAAATAAACTAATAAATTAATAAGTACTAGTACTCGAACCATGTCATAAGTGCTGACTAGTGCCTCCATAATTTATATCCCATATGATTACTATATATACTGGTACATACAATGCTCCAAAATCCTTGAAAATTAGCAGATCTAAGCGAAATAGAGCCGGGTACATCGCTTCTCTTTGTAAGTATTCAGAAATACTTTAAAGCCTAACAAAGTCTGAAATCTTGTTGTTTCACGTACTTGCGGCATTGATTCTTTACAGTAAGACAGTAATGAACATGTTCAAAAGCCTTATTAACGATCTGTAAAAGATGTGGTAGAATATAAAAAAGGTATTAGTATAAATTACATTCAAACACCAACTTTGGGCTCAAGATTATTTTTAACTTTGTTTTTAACTATAGACAAAATTTATATGGTCGTTCATAGAAAACTACAGAAATGTTATATCTTAAAAAGAACTATGTGCAACATTTTAGTAGCCTTCAAATTTAAGTTTTCTAAATTTTTACTAGTAAAATTTGATGTGCAAATCGATTTTTTTTTATAAGTGTGCAAATGTATGACGATTATCTATGACATGTCAGCTGATTGCTAGTTACTTTATTATATCGATATATGGTTAACCCACCCGAAGTGCAAACTCCCAAGTGCAAATTTCTAACAAAAAAAATAAAGAAAAAAGCCAATTCGATTTTAATTAAAAAAAAAATTGAATGATTTATGAGCTTAATTAAAAATAAAATAAATAAAAATTAGGCTGATAATAAGTCACATATTGAAAAGACAGCTAAGCAGGAATATGCCAGGGACAGGCAGTTAGGCCTTGAATACAACTATTAATTCTAATCGCCAAGTGAAAGTATTTGAAATCTGATATTGTATAAGTGAAATAACGATCATTTATAAAATGTACTTATATTATTGTTGTCCTTCGTAGTTGAACTAACCTATATGGATTTGTTTTCAACTATCTTCAGATAGTCTACAGAGCCGTTAATGTAGAGTATCTGACACACTTAAAAACTTTTGGCATGCCATTTGTTTAAATTCATGCCAGGATACCACTCTGGCATGCCACTAATACATAACACATATTTTATATATATTATATAAACTGCCTTATTAACACTGACTAATTATATTGCTTATTTTTGTGCAACTAATTTATGAATTGGCATGCCAAATAAGTTTTTAGCATGCCATTGGTATGCCTGTGACTAGTTTGCCAGGTATCCTACGTTGAGGTGTTAAATGTACTATATAGATCAAATATATGTATAGTAATCCCATATTCATTGATTAGTAGAACAAGTTCTACGCCTGCTCATACGCTGGGAGTTTTTTTTAATATTTCTTGTTAAGGTTTATTGGTTGACAAGAATGTTCTTTCATACAAACTAATCATACAAAGCACATCGAATAAACATACAGACGAAAATTTAATAATATTGCTGTACTGAGTAAGCGTGTTCTTAAGCACTTCACTCAATGGATCGGAAGTAAATTTTTAATTAGTCAGAAAATTAAATAAATTAACCAAATGAGTTACCATTTCGATGAACAATTAAGCGAGACACAACCCACCTTTTTTCTTCAAAAATTTACCATTGATAAAGGTCGCTCAAGCATTATTTTTACATATTTTACATATTAAACATAATAAGCAATTAATTCTCAAGAAATTTCTAACTGATGTAAAAAGATAGTCATTTTATTTTAAATGTTCGAAGCTTTTAAAATGATAAATTAATATAAATATAACAATCTTTTAACGTTTAACCAAACCATAATGAATATTGTTTTCCATTTTTCACTTATTTAAATTTTAAATCTTCTTAGCAAAGACTTAAAACTGAAAAGTTTGGGTAGACGTTTTTTCATATTTGATGGATAGTAAAGAAATTTAAATTGTTAAATTCATTAAAAGGAGGAGCCAACGTAACTAAAGTTGAACCTTTAACTGTTGATTGTAAAGAAAATTTTTTTATTAGGTTTTTTAGGTAGTAAATGAACATTACGAAAAACAGAAAAAGTATACACAAGTATTTAATTCTATAAATATCATCATCAATTGTGGTGCTTGAGCATCATCATAATCATTATCTGATCAATTGATTTAGATGCATAAGAACAGCCTAAGTTGATGTTCTAAAAATCTGCATAAACATATGAGAGACGCCAAGGGAAAACCTACAAGTTGTACTTTTTGTATATTTAATTTTAATAAAAATATCTTTATATCAGGCAATCTAAAACCTATACTTTTAATATCATTTGAATTATCTTAATAAGACAATTCAAATAATATTAAGAATAGTAGGTAAAAAGTTAATATTCAAAAAGTGCAACTTGTAGGTTTTCACTTTGGCGACACTCATATATTGCATGTAATGAAATTTTTACGTATAACCAAGCATGCAGAAATCACTGACTTTGGATGTTCTCAAGCACCTCACTCAATGAATCAGAGACAATTTTTTTAATTAGAGTTTTCTCAAGCACCTCACTCAATAGATCAGAAGCAAATTATTAATAGTTAGAAATTGAATAATTTAACCAAGTAAGCTGTTATTTCAATGAACAGGTCAGTGAGACACAAACTATCCTTTTTACTTCAAAATTTATCATTGATAAAGGTCGCTCAAGTATTACTTTTGCATTTTTTACATGATAAACAATGAATTCTCAACAAAATTTAATCCAATCTTAGAAAATAATTTATTTTTAATGCTCGAATCTTTTAAAGCAAATAATCAATATCTTGATATAAATGTAATAAATGCAATCCATCTTTTAACCTTTAATCAAATTATAATAAATAATGCTTTTCATTTTTCGTTCACTAAATTTGATAATTTTTTCACAAAGATAACCAAAAATTGAAGGATTTAGGCTGATGTTTTTCTATATTTAATGGATAATAAAGGTTATAACTTTTTTCAAAAAATATTTTCTACCAATGATACTTTTAGTGTGAAATAACATATGAGAATTACTATAGAAAGCCTATAAAAGAATTTTTTAAAAAATTTGCTTGTTTTCGCAAAGCAATTTTTGCTAACTCCATAAGTTGATTCTGTTACTGTTGAAGCAAACTTTTATTTCTCAAAATAATATCTATATACTTTTACATACATAAAAATAGTTTTTTATTGGCTAAGTCATTAATAGGTGAAGCCAGTGTAACTGAGGTTGAAGCTTCGACAGGTAGTTGAATAAAAAATTTTATTACTGTATTAGGTTTTTAGAAGGCGTAGAGAAGATTATAAAAAATAAAAAGAAGCATTTAATTCTATATATGTCATCATTGATTGAGTGTTACCATGATTATTATTTATTTAATCAATTGAGATATTTGAGAATACCTTAATCAAAAATCAGCTAAAAAAATCATTCAGCAAATTTAAATGTTTCAGGAATTATGAAATCAGATGTTAAGTGTAATGGCGAAAATGA